GGGCAAATTTGGATTCTCGTTAAGAACTCCCTATAGATGAGAAATTATATGAGAAAAAAATTTCTGCTCTCAAAACGTGCGCTAGTAGCAGAACAACGAGAGAAAATAACCAATTTCTGACTGTTTTTTTTATGTTGGGGGTTTTCGGGGGGGCTCCCATGATTTGTCGAGGGGGCAAATTTGGATTCTCGTTCAGGACCCTCTGAAGATGAATAATTTCACCCTACTTTATATAATTCTAATAGATTTCATGCATTCTAGGCAATCCTGGACACTTATCTTGAGGGGCAATCTCAAAGTATGCGAAAACGTCCGATGTCCATTATTTTTCTTCTTCCGCCGTCACGTAACTTTCACTGAAGCCTCGAAGAAAAGAAAAATATTTTTTTTTGTGTTACTGGAGGTCTGACATTATGTTTTGCTCTAGTTATAAGGTTTTTGGAGGGGTCAAAAATAATGGTTTTTGGGCAGATTTTTGCAATGTATGCGAAAACGTCCGATGTCCAAAGCCCTTTTTTTGAAATTACTCAGCACTGAATGGGAGTTGGAATGGGACACAGTTGTGTGCCTCTTCTACAACCCTTTACTAAGAAACACATGCCTTGATTTTCTTCAAAACGCCGATTCTAAAGGCCTCCACAGTTTTTTGCGGTTTACCAAAAGTTGATTTTTTGGACATCGGACGTTTTCGCATACCTCGATTTAATTGTAGTGAGGAGTTAGTCAAAATTATTCCGATTCATATACGTTGTTCAGGACGCCCGCTAAAGCGAAAAATTGTTTATCCCTATAGTAATGCATTGGGGATACGAGATTGTTTACGTGCACCAAGCTGAACGTACTTGAATCGTGTCGCGTGACGTCACAGCAAAGGCAACAAGTGTCCTGTTTCGCGTGTCTCGATCACGTTTGATCCTCCAACTGTGTGCCCCCCTCGCGGACTTCTCCATCCCTTTATTCCTCTCACGTACATAGCGTTAGCCTGCCTGCACCTAAGTATCTCCTCAAAACTGTCTTCCATTTCTAACTGTACGTTTGTGTTTCATCTTGAAGGTCATTTGCCTAACTGATCGTTCGTTTCTTCGACTTCCTCTCTTTTTCCTTTCTCCTGTATCTTCCATTGATTCCGGTGAAACTGGGTGTCGGTGAGTACTTTTTGACGGGAAACTCGAATTTTCAGTCAGATTTTCAAAATTCAAAAATCAAAGATGGCGGCCGTGGCTTAAAATGCTGTGTCGGCTCCTTTTCGGTCGATTGTTGTATAACTCGGTATAAGGGGTTATTTTTCGACGGGAAACTCGAATTTTTGGTCAGATTTTCAAAATTTCGAGCATGCGATTCCGCTGGAAGCTGCTGACGCAGTGTGCTCATCAGCGTACCTCGAATTAGTTAAAGTTGCCAAGTGGCCAAATAATGGAAAATCAAAATTCGTTGGGGAGAAGTTCTCTCCTCCCGAGGTCTCCCACACCTCAGTCTGCAAGGGCAGATAACAATCTCTCCCTTTCTGTCACGGCGTCAAGCTCGACAGCGGCGGCGCCATTGGAAGATTGTTCCTCGTTTCAGCAGAACCCATTTTCCTCTAACCAAGAGAAATTTTTGCTTCCATAATGCCTGCATATAAGTCTTAGTTCAGCAATTAACTCTGCTGTAATGCCTCTTCTTCTCCTCCCTTTTTTCAGTTTGCCTTACCTTTAGTGTCTAGGGTCTGTAAACCGTACGTTGGTTGATTGGTAAGCTATTCATAATGATATGAAAAACAAATTAATTGAAGTCCTGGAATGCCACCAAAACTTACAGCAAATTGTTACATATTTGCAAAAAATGTCTACATTTATAACTTATCAAAGATTGACTTTTATGCACTGAAGAATGTTTCCAAAACTTTATCCATCAAGATTATACGGAAATTTATGTGATATTTAATAAATATCTAAACATTTGATATATATAGAAAAAATAAAATCTATTAAACTACAAAGGTTTGATGTAAGCTGAGAAATAAGTGTTCCTGAACCTCATCAAGCAGTGTTTTCGAAAATCCAATTTATCGCTATTTTTAGCTCACATTTTCCGCTGTAAATATTCGGTCAAAGCTTTGATTTCATGGGGAATCATATGCCCTGATCATTTAATAGTACTGTTCAACCACTCGCTCAATTTACAATTGTGAAAAAGCTGAATAATGTTAAAATTCTAAAGTTGCCAAGGAAGTCGTGTCCACATATGATCTGTAAAAATTAAGCTATGCCCAGCTGAGTTAAGTATCAACTGACTTTTCATTACCTTTCCAAAAAAGATCAATGTGCTCTCCTGTATGAGATATGATATACTAGATCACTATCTTAACAGTGTTTTGGTTCAAAATTTGGTGATCAAAAGTGCCAGAAATAAGGGAAATTCTACAAACTTTTCTGTCAAAACAATGATGATACTGCTTTAAATGATCCACCTTTCATAGAGATGAAATATAATAAAAAAGAAGAACAGATATATTACCTCCAGCAAAACTGAATGTAATTTCCAAAGATATGCTAGTTTATAACCTCATTTAACACTAAAATTAGTGAAACTACAAAAACCATTGTTTTATAACTGCTTCTGCTGAATAGTTTTGAATTAAAGATAATTCAGAGGAAGGAATACATTACAAGATTACGGTCTGAATATGATTCTCAACTAGAATTTTATGATTTTTCAAATTTTTTACCAGTAATTCTCGTGTTTTACACGTGTATTTTGAGTTGTGAAACCATTCTATTCGAAGGTTCTTTTAGAAAATCGTCCTCCGCCGATTTAAAAATGTGATTTCATCTAGTTTCCTGCAGATTTTTTTGTTTACCTTTCTTCTGTCTCATCAGCACTTTATAACCCCTGATTCTGTAAATTTGTGCCAGAATAAATCTAGGTCTGCTGGAGTACAGTAGGTAAAGTGCTATGATCATTTGAAACGGGTGACACTGCCCCACGTGACATGAATTCACAAAGGTAGCGATGAATGAAAATTGAATCAGAAACATTTTGGGAAGGATATACAATTTTTTTTTCATCAGATGCCAGCTTTTCTCCATCCTCCATCTATGAGGAAAATGGCGACCTCGAAAATGATCCATCCTATTTTACAGCTATCCAAGGAAATCGTGTCACATTTTATACATATACGTATGTGGGTACATACTAGTGTTGTCTGTGCATAGAATTTTATGATACGGGTCTTCATCTTTCTATCATTAAATTTTTTTTTTTTTTTTTTTTTTTTTTTTTTTTTTTTTTTTTTTTTTTTTTTTTTTTTTTTTTTTTATTCAGCAAATTATGTTACAACCACCTGTTAATAAGTGTAAATTAACTTCGTTTTACAAATATAATAACAAACAAATTAACCATTTTTAATTTTAATTTTTAACTTCATTTAAATTAACAGCTTCTCTTCTTCCTTGTTTCTCTTCCTTATTGTAATGTTTGTGATTTCCAGGACTACCAGACCTGGCATGATTTGCGGGAATTGGAAAATACAATCGGTGTCCGTTACCTGACTCACGAATCTGACGATGCTCGATGGGCCAGGGAAGCAGAACTGCACAACAAATCTGTTTAGGCACTATCACAATACTCTAGTTTTCTTTAGGCTCTTGCCTATTTCCTCGCCTGATTCCCATGATGTTTTGGGAATTAAATGTCAAATGGGTTGCAAGTAATAGTTTTACTCCAGTTCAAAAAGTTTACTATGTCAGAAAAACTTACAGCCAACAGACTACCATCTGTGCTGCACCTGTTGCTCTCACAAAATGTGATAGTAACGGAAGACTGCCAACAGACTACCATCTGTGCTGCACCTGTTGCTCTCACAAAATTTGATAGTAACGGCAGACTTTGTCTCTTATTTGGACATGCGTACTTTTGCATGCTGTTCTGACTCACATCAAATGATCACTAGTCTATTTGCTTCCCTGAATCTATTAGAATTGTCGCCCTTATTTCATTCCAGTATCCCCCCTCCCCTTAAGATGGGCTAAAAGAAAGCCAAAGCTAAAATCAATAATCAAACATGGATGTCTTGTGTGGTCTACAAGCAGACCAAAACAAGTTTTCTTGTTTCTGTAAGACGAAGCATTATTGATTGGGATTAGAAAAAGAACAGACTCAAAGTTAAGTCGCCAATTTTATATTTGTTTTGCTTCCTTGTTGACATTTTTGTATCAGTTATGTTCCTCATTCCATATTTCATGTTAACACCGACAAGACTTGTGTGATGACTCTTCCTTAGTTCTTGCAAGCATGTTGCTTTCAGAACCCATGGTAGAATTTTGTCGGAAAAAAACAGAAGTATTCACGACCGGCACTTGAGTCCATTGTAGAGCCTCTGATGGCAGTGCAGTTTCAGCTCATCGATGGGTATTTCACTCCAGAGTAGAATCAAATAAATTTTGCTCTTGGAGCCATCGTTTTTTAAAAAAATGACTTTAGTTATTTTAAGACTTCAGCATGTTTTCTGAAGTCCTCATACTCTTGGAAAGTCGATTTTATTAGTGGTCAATCTTCGTTTTCAACAGAAAATTTTTTTTGGCCTCTTTTATCACTGGAAGTTAAATTTTTTGTCCGTACTGCAGACCAATTAAACAGGCTTGTTTTTCTATCAATACGTGCAATAATAATACCGTTTTAAGTTTTTTTGCACTCATAGAGCTATATTCTTGTAGAAGAATAAAACAAAATATCCCTCAAAGTTTTTACTTTCAAAATTTAGCCCCCAAATTGCTCTAAAGTCCGATTTCTAGAATTTTGCGCCATCATTTTTCCCCTAAAAAAAAAACAGGAAATGTAATTAAACGCTTAATTTTAATTAATTTCTTTAGAACTAACTTAGAAGATGTGGTAGACAACTTTTTCAAAGAATTTCTACAGGTTTGCTCTTTCTAAAGCTACAAATTGTACAATTTTTTGCTGGTCTACGGTACAGGACAATAACTTTACGGTACGGACAAACAGGCTACAGTAAGGACGAAGAGGCATCCGTAAATATTACTGTATGCAAGGGCCGAATTATTAGGAACTGAAATTCATTGGGGAATAAACTGCTAAGTTATAGCATAGCTTAGGTATAAGTGCCTCTTTTATAAGTATTTACAGGCAATAAAGGTAAAAAGAGTAAGTAAATTAGTTTTTCAAAAATAACGAACTGCTTTATTTTAAAGTAAACGCATTAAATAATTAGGGACAAAGCTTAGAAGCTGAGTTTTTAAAACAAGCTTGACAACGTTAGAACGTTTTAGGTGAACTTTTACAAAAAAAGAAAGAAAACAAAAAGGTAACTTTATCAAAAATGTGGTCACAAATAACCTTAAATAAATATTTAAAGGACAATGAAGTTTGATAAAGTTAGAAAAATAAGTTAGATATTAAAGAATAAATTGCTATGAACTTCAGACGAAAAAGAGGACTCAAAATTCTAAAAGAAAAAATGAAAAAAATAAAAAGATGGCGATCCTTATGCAATCATCGAAAAGAAAACCTCCTTCTTCTAAGTCGTACTAAAAAAAAAATATGTCTCTCTTTTTTTTTTTAAATTCCAAATTTGTATGATAGATAAAATAAAGTAAAAAAGGATGATCTATCAAACAGCGCACCGATTTTTGGATGACTTTCGCATTTTGTTTGTTCTTACCGTAGACTTGGCCGCATCGCGCGTGAGCTACGGGCTACGGTACGGACGGCTACGGTGCGGACAAATCGTGTGATTATTGGCAACGGGCATATTCACGCATGTGGTTGAAATTCTGGATTTGAGGTTAAGATATCAGAGCGTATCAAAACATACCAAAATTCGAAAGTTTGAAGTGATTTATGCATTGAAAAGGTAGGTACAGGGTGTCTACCAGTCCGTAAAGTCCGGAAAAAGTACGCATTTTTTAAGGTCGGTCCGTAAGTACCTAAAAAGTACGTAAATCTCGCAGAAGGTCCGTAATTTTTCGCATTTTGCGCTCCGCGTTCCGTTCGATCGCCTGATAGTTATGCAACCCTCTGTGCGTTGGCCGTCAGGCGTATTAGTACAATGTCAGCCCGTAAGAGCGCGGTTGTTGTAGAGGAGCGGAACAAGGCATTTCCCTCGATTTGACGGAAACAGCCGAAAAGGCTACGGGAATAGCCGAAGTGAAGCGCGCGGCAGTGCCAAAATCGAAGAATTGCGATCAGTCATTTGAATATAATAATGGCCGCTTTGCGATTTTAAGAGCGGAACTTTTTTTCTCGCCTGATTTCCCATCCATAGAGGGTCCTTAACGAGAATCAAAATTTGCGACATCGGCACTTTATGGGAACCACCCCCCCCCCCCCCCCCCCNGAAATCGAAAAAAACGGCCAAAAATCGGCGATTTTCTCTCATTTTTCGGCTAATATCGCAAAAACCGCTCATTTTTCGAGTAAGTTTGTAAGAACTTGCCTTAAAGTAGATGAAATTACGGACATTTTCCACCCGGTCCGAAATTTCTCTGATAGATAATATGCCCACCACAATGTTGCCAAAAAAAAAAATCCCGAAATGTTCAAAATTTCATTTTTTTAAGGTTTTTTGCTTGTAACTTTTTTCCAGCAATTTTAGAAGGTAAGTGTATCGGCCGAAATAAAAGTAGATTCAAAATGCTACAATTTCGTGTATCAGACTTTGACCTAGGGCGTAACAAGACGGCTCCACGGCGTTGCCAAATTTACGGTCTCCAAGGGCATTTTCCGCGGCGGAGCATTTCACGCAACCGCTCCACTCAAAATTACGTGAGAAATTTTGCGAAAAACTTTCTGGAATATTTCCTATGCTTTCATTTTGCTGTAAGGCACTAAATCTCCTCTATAATTAATAAAATTAGAGATTTCACCCCTTTTGGCATCCCTTCCCCCAACCCCCATTCCTCCCCCTCCCCAATCAGATAACGGCGCGAAACCATTTTCACTGCATTTTTATCTCGAAAAACGCTATTTTGCAATTTCAGTAGTTGATGACCGAAACTTCATAATAGCGTTTTACTGGATAGAAAATACGTAGAAAACATATTCCAGAAAGTTTTTCGCAAAATTTTTCACGTAATTTTGAGTGGAGCGGTTGCGTGAAATGCTCCGCCGCGGAAAATGCCCTTGGAGACCGTAACTTTGGCAACGCCGTGGAGCCGTCTTGTTTCGCCCTAGGGCAAAGTCTGATACACGAAACTGTAGCATTTTGAATCTACTTTCATTTCGGCAGATACACTTGCCTTCTAAAATTGCTGGAAAAAAGTTACAAGCAAAAAACCTTAAAAAAATGAAATTTTGAACATTTTGGGATTTTTTTTGGCAACCTTGTAGTGGGCGTATTATCTATCAGAAAAATTTCGGACCGGGTGGAAAATGTCCGTAATTTTATCCATTTTATGGCAAGTTCTTATACAGTTACTCGAAAAATGAGCGGTTTTTGCGATATTAGCCGAAAAACGAGAGAAAATCGCCGATTTTTGGCCGTTTTTTTCGATTTTGGGGAGGTTTCCATACAGTGCCGATGTCGCAAATTTAGATTCTCGTTAAGGACCCTCTATGGATGAGAAATCAGGTGAGGAAAAAAGTTCCGCTCTTAAAACTGCATAAAATCCCCATATGACTGGACTAATACGTCGCGAAAAGGTACTTAAAAAGTACTTAATTTTTCCCCAAGGCGAGGTACTTAAACTTTTCCTTAAGTACCTAAAAAGTACTTATTTTATTTTTGTGGATCTCAGTAGACACCCTGTATACGGTAAGGACATCCTAGATGGTCGTTAAACCTAGAAACTCATGAAAAACGGTCGAAATTTACTGTTCCATTGCGGTTTTTTTTCCTCTGCTCGGCCTCAGCGTGTGATAGTCACGAAAACACAAAAAAAGTAAACAAAGTTCTTCAGTGCTGCACTCTAACGGACGAAATGATGCTGAAAACAGGGGGCTACGGTGCAGGACGCGAATCCCGGTGACGCGGCTGCTTGACGCAGAGACGGTCAATATTTTCACTTATTTGGATGAATAAAACTGAAAATAATAAGTTATGTACTAGTTGAGAGTGGATTTACAGCAGAAGTGGAAGTATTTAGATGCAAGATAATGGTTATGAAACGTTGAAGTTGCGCACTTGAGCCGGAGACAGGCTACGTTGCAGGACATTTCAGCTGTTTAGGGCCAAAATTCTGATATTAAATGACAAAAACTGCCTAAAACGATGTTACAATCTGATTTAGCGTAATATTTTGAACAAATTTTAACAAAAAAAGGTCAGATTTTTCCATTCTGAAGGGCTAAAAAGTCGGGAGACATGGTAGAGCAAAACTTATTTGATTCTACTCTCCAAAGCATAAATGCCGACAAAATTCGGCCCCTGAGCCATATCATATTTACCTTGTCCGTGGTTGGCGTAGTTAAATATTGAATTTGCATTGTATCAGTATTAAATCCGTTTTCTCGGTAGTTTAAGTTTTTTTTGTGTCTTCCAGCATTAGAGAATAGTTTGGAAAAACAGGTATAGTGGAACTAATATCTCTGAATTAAAGAGTTAAGATTAAAATATTGAATAACTAAAGTAACCTTGCAAAAATACTAGTGTGCATTGTTTGAGACAAACTACTTTTTTATTTGTCCATTCAATTTTAATGTACCAATTGGACTACATTATGCAATTTGGAACTATAAATTCTAGCCCGGTTTAAAATCAATGTATGTGACATTAGTTTCCCTATGCACTTAAGTGTTTTTTCAGGTGAGCCAGAATTTATAGTTCTAAATTGCAAAATGCAGTCCAATTATTCTTCTTCAATCATAGAGTGAACAACAAGATGGACAAAATTATGTTCAAAATTAAATTTAGGCAATTTTCAGGTCATCCAAATTTTCTTAATATTTGAATATTTTTTTCTGATATTTTCTCACCAGTGCAATAATGAGCAAGGACCCTGAAAGAGAGGAGAAAGACTTCCGAAGTTTCTCTCAAAAGGCAGGAAAAAATGGGATCGACTAGAAAACAGAATGAATCAAGGAAGTTTCGAAAGTAAGGCACTTTTCTAATCATCAGGTGGTCAGAGCCCACCGCTCATCCTGATATTTTGCATTCTGCTGCGCCCATCTGATGTTTTTTGACAGTTCAGGGAGTATGGAAGTACAGCTGCAAATAGTTCATCATCATTTTCTAAAGGAAGGCAGGGTAAAATGTAAGAGACCTTAAAAAAAATAAATCTTGAATAAAAAGAAAAAATCACAATAAATCTAAATTAAATCAAAATGAATCATCATAATCTGAATAAATAAATTATTATTACTCAGGGAGTTCTTGAATCAAAGCAATTCTATCCTCCTGATTTTTAGTATTCTTCAGCGCCCTACCATTTTTTTCCGTTTTGTCAAATTATGGATTCAGAAAGTTTTCAGCTTTTCCATTTCTTCTTTGGCCTTTCTACTTCGAAGATCCCTCTTTT